GGGGTAATACGGTAAAATAAAATAAAATACAAGTGAATCATCAGCAGAGTTATTTATTCACAGTATCAGTAAGAAAAGTATAAAATTAGAATTAGATCATACTTAAATTACTTCCTGTTAATTTTCTACTCCAGAAATTGCATTTGATATTTTTTCACATTCATATTTTGACAATATACATAATACAAAAGGTTAACATTGTACAGTTCTTGCTGTATTCTTGTCACAAAGTTGGCATCAAATTATTATTCTAACCAGACACTCTATAAACCTTAGCATACAGAGTACTTTCAGAGTCTGCAAAATTAGTAACTGGAACATGACAAGAACAAATGGGATGACATTATTTAGTACTTTTAGTGCTGAATAATCAAGATGTCTTATTTTGTTTTTAAATAAATTAATAAACAAGATTTGTTTATGACAAAATAATTTGTTTTGTTAGATTTTAAAAAGAAGCATTTATTAAAGCATTGTAGTTGACAGAAAGTGGGTTTAAAATTTAAAGTGTCACAGTCATCATGTACCGGTAGCATGTGTTCAAATTCCAGATCAACAAAGTATTTTACTGGCCTTGTATACATTGCATCAGAACCATATCGAACACAACACAACCTCTACAGTACTTTTAACAAACTATATTCCACACAATTTGTACACATCGCCTGTGACTTACTTTAGAAAGCATTGCAACATGATTGTGGCACTTTAAAGGAAAGTGAATTAGTTGTGCAAATAACAGTACTTCGAATTTATTAGGTGAACACGAATTGCATGTAGAAAATTTAATTCCATGTATATTGTATTGCACTACATTGTTTTTGTGGTCTGAATTTTCAATTATTCATACCAACAATGAAAATCAGGTATGGTTATATCAGTTCAGCCAAGCATAAGCCAAATATCATCTATATTCAAATAATATCAATTTCCACAATTGTGTACATGTACATGCATAGCAATATGGATTATTAAGAGACTCAAAAGATAATAGTTTGTACAACACACTAGTGAATAACAATCTGAAAAATCAGCTTGCACACTGGAATATTGAAATTCAGTAAAATTACAGATAAAACATAAGGTTTGTCAATGAGAGATTATTTCATTTTTGGTGTACATAAATGCAAATACAACATGAAATATGGCACACATTGTAAAATTTTATACTTGGTCTATACTTGGATTTCACTAGTTGAAAATAAATAGGACCACAGATTTTGAGAAAACTAGAGTACTAGTTTTGAAAACCAAGCTTATTAATTTCAGTTAGCAACAATCCCCAGCAAGGCATTCACATGCAGGTATAAAATAAACATGCAAAGAAATCCTTGACAATCGTGTGAGGAAGGATGAACTCAAATTAAGACAGGTCTTGCCATTGATACCTCAGAAAGCTCTTCTACTAGCACTGACTCAGTCGGTTCAATAATTTCCGCCATTTCAATAACAGTGACAGTACACCCACCAAGGAAGGAAGGAAAAAAAGAAGAACAGGGAAGATTGCTAGACTTCTACCAGCTACAATAATCGCAGTATGAAAAATAAAAAAAAATGGAGAAAGCAGAGTTTGCATATGATTCAGGCTTGCAAGTATAGAAATTGAATAAATGTGCACAACATAAAAAACTATTCACAGGTAGCAATGAGACTAAATGCAGGCTTGAAAAGAACTTTAAAATATAATCTAAATGTCACTAGTAACTTAACTTTACACAAACTAATTTTCTTGAGTTGTAACTTCAGTTCACAAGAACAATTTTGCTATTAAAATGATTCCGAAGTTACAAGAATTGGAATATCAGAACTTTTAACATGGAATACAGAAATGACTATAAATAGTAAAAATCTAAATTTTAGGGTATTTATTTATTTACCTTTGCAGCTATGAAATGTGTTCTGGTGAAGTTTCCAGATTTTATAAAAGTTGTAGATATGAGAATATTCTACATGATCAAGTGTTATTCAAAGGTTGTTAGGTTTGACTTTCAAAAGTGTCACATTGATTTAGACACAAGACCTTTCAGTTTTTACTACTTTTTAAAGAAAAAACTGCCTGAAACTGAAAACCTACAAAATATGATATGCTCTCAATATATATTAATACACCATCAAATCATACAAGACATTACATTTCCACAAGAAAGATAAAATGACTTCCAGAAATGTAATTTCTTGTTGACTTCAAAAGATGTTCTGAATAAACAAGATGGGTTACTATATTCATAACTAATTTCATCAAGACATGAAAATGCCATATGATATGCAACACTTGCTTTATCCTATTACCTACATGCTTTCCATTTAATAGTAAATAATCTTAATTGCTATTAAACATGAATAGTATTCACCAGGATTTCTTAAATATTCAGGACAACTCATCTTATAACTATACATGATTTTTGAAACTTGTGTATTCAAACAAAATTGAGATATGGTGTAACATACATGTAGGAACTAATGATAAATAGCTAAAAAATAAATAGATGTTTCGATAACCATACCTTTTTCTTGATTTTGTGAGCAAAAGCATCAAAATAAAGCCATATAGTACAAGTCAGGGAAATCTGACGATAAGTTTTTAATGGGAGCCAGCTACTTTAATTTTAGCATAAATTATTATATTAACATATAAATCTGTTTTAAAACAAGTCACCAGACTTCACATTGAAAACCATAGAATTGTGTGTAGTTTCTTCTTATTAACTAACTATATTTCACATACCTTTATCCTAGATTTCTTTGGTGAAAAATTATGTGCCAAATTATTTGTCTGTGACTGCTTCAATATAGGACGTGGACAAGAAGACGACAAAGGTTGTACAACTTTGTCAAAATTTACTGAAAATCCTGTACGTGGCTCAGTATTCTCATCAAAGTATGTAGAAAAATCAGCACTCATTGTAAGCCTGTAAATGAAAAAGAAATTAGTCATGAAATAACTTCTCTGGTTGATTAGTTTTGATGCAGATATTCACTATATCAGTGTCAAAACCACAAGGTTTTACAAACTTGACATATATACTCCCCATGAACAAGAGGTCTTATTAGATCGATTTGATTGAACACGCATGTATAAAAACATGTTGGCTCAGTATATGGAAAAACAACCCCCCCCCCCCAATTTCTTGCACAGGAACAGACTGATGGCACTGTAACTCAAAACTCATCTTTTAACTCTGGGTCAGACCCCGAAAGTAACATCTACAAGACATTACTGCAGTGTAGTGTCAATAGACCTTTCACGCAAATAGTTGCAGAGATTTAGTTGAGAACGAGAGAAACAGAAGTTTCGGTTCAGCCATTCAACATTGTCTCTCGTGATCAGCTCCACTGTTCCTCTGACCTATGTAACCATGGTGCAATATTTTACAAGGGCAAGTCTTGTTGAACTCTCCCTCTCATGGGTCCACGATATCTCGGGGCCATTTGCATTGATGATCAATTGATATTATAATTTTGACAGCTGCTTGTGTCCGATATTCACTAATTGGAATTAAAATGACAGTCTTACATTATAATAGCTGAAATTCGTAACCACAAAATACAACAATTTTTTGCATAAAGTACGCTTTAGGACAAATGCACAAAAAAACATAATTATTTAGTTATATGCAAAAAATTAATGATATAACGTACCCATAAGTGTATTTTTATTATTATTTCAACATTCCAAAACAAGACACAATCACCCAAAATACGAAAAAAAAAACGACAACAGCATGAAACGTTGCAGGCTGTTACGAGACCACAAGCAAACCCAAGTGAATGACTATTGTCGTGCACCAAAACATTATCTATATACACATTGAACTTAAATAAAATGTTGGCACACGTCCACAAGAATATAGCCGGGGCAAAGATGGCTGCAATTTCGCCACTACGTCACAATTCATTCAATGTTTAAGAGCAAATTGAGAGTAGCCGAAATATTTTGAGATTTTTGAAGCCTCAGTATACCTACCTTCAACAAATTAACAATGTTCTTATGAGCAGGAGCTGGGATGGGGTCCGCAATAACACGGTTTTCTCTTTCAAAAATCTTAACCGTCATTTTGATAGACCAGCTCCCTTGAGCATGCGCAGTACATTTACATCGTTACAACCGGAAGTATAGCATGGTGTCAAATTATAATATTTTTAGGTATATTGTCATTATTTATTACTAAAAAAATTGTTTTTAAAAAATAGAGTGTTATTTATTGTTGAAATATAGATTTATTTTCTAGATACATAATTTACCTAACTATGTTGACCTCTATTTTGGCGTCTGTTTCCTTTTCATAACAGCAATTTCGATTGGTTATTTATAGACACCGCGCAATGAATAATTAATTATGTAGGTCCGAATGACAGTTATAATTGTTGTTGCAAGATAAATGTTGTCACATTATGTGAAACAATGGAATATACACTGAATACATCGTTTTGGGTAAACCTTTTATAATGTGTATAAAAACATGCATTTCGTAACGAATCATACGTGGACCAACCAAAAACTGTTTTATAAAAAAATGTATTGTCCCACGCGTGCGCACAACACAATGTTGTGATCGCGCGAAAAGCTCGCAGGACAGTGAAGACACTTGAAGGAGTTCGTCATTTCCGTATTTATGTAGACGGTGTATAGAGTCGTGTTTTAGATATAAGAAATTAATTTTGTTTTCCTGCATTAATGTTCTGTGTTCAGAAATTATTTTATCACGCAACGTCGTTTCGCCAACATGTCCGGACGACCTGGGTCCAAAGGCCCAAGTCGGAAACCCAAATCCAACACCAGCAACAGGGATACTGATAAAGATGAAGACGTCTTTGAAACCGGCGCAACAGGAAGTGCGGAGTATGTAGACAAAAGACGTCAGATAAGACACGATTATCGAACTTTGATTACAGAAACACAGAGTGAGTGTCAGTCATAGTAACGTTTATTAGTTAAAAATGAATTATTCACTCAGTCTCAATAATTTATAGTCAAAATGTTTAGCAAATTCACTGTGAGTTTGTAATGTGTTTATTTTCATGGTTGTAATCACGGTCGCTACTGTATAACCCTGATATAAATTCAGTCTTGTCGCTTAATTCATTTAATACAGTTTCACAAATAAATCTGTTCTATTTTGTTTACAATTGGAGATTATTCTATTATAATCCATTAGCAGCAATAAAAAAAAACGGTGGTCACGACCTCGTTTTTGAGAAATCGTATTTTATATAAAAATATTAAGCTCTATGAAGGAAAAGTAAAACATGCCTCTTACAAATATAAATTTAAAAAAAAAATCAGGATAATGAGAAAGTTTGTAGACTTTTCTACAAATAATAGTTCACATTTGTAAACATGTGTGTATGCGAGTGTGTATTGCAGTTTGTGACATAAATGCTGGAATGTTGATTGTAAATGAATACAAATTAATATGCAAATTTATGCTAATTAGACCACTCACCAGCTATTTTGGTTTGTGGACAACACTAGTAATGGCACATGTGATGGCGTTCCAAATATATCCACTCGTCATGTTATACAGATGCAGATGCATTATAGAACATTCTTAGCACCTCATTCCACTTTTTTTCTGACATTTGTGCTTCTTCCTGTGAGTAATGGATACATTGAGCTAATGGTCGACTTTATGAGAATAGATCCAATACTGTAGAATACTTTATTTTCGCTTGGAATTTATTTTTGCTATTTTCGCTGAAGGGATGATTCCGTGAAAATAAAATCCAGTGAATATACTTTTTTTCCTATATTTCACATTAAACTCATCAAAAATCAATGAAAATAAATTCCATACACAACACCCAAAAAGCCTTTTCAGCGAAAATTAATTCCAGCAAAAATAAAGTAATCCACAATATTATAAACAGATATCAAAATCACCTGTTCATGCATCTCATGTATAATAATGTTTGAATGTTTTACGTTCTCAGAAAATAGATTGGATCTGATTAGACCTGACAATACAGGGCTTTACACAGCCTTAACAAGAGCTGATAAACTTTTCAATGAAGGTATGTTTTTATATATATTTAATAAATTTTGCCAAATGTGGCTATGTGGGACGAATACACAAGTTTCAAAATGACACCAAATTGCTCAAGCATTTTTTAAATTATTTTTCTGTTTGCAGTTAAAAAGACGACAGCGACGCGTGAAGCTGCACTTGATTCTCAGTTTCTTGTGTTAGCGGCATCTCTGGGAAACCAACAAGCGCATCAGTTACACACCGATTTAGTGGCCTTTGAACCAACAGAGTTTGCTGAGAAACTTGTGAGTTTTTTTTTTACCATTATAGGCTATTTGTCTGTTTTCTGTCAAATTATTTAATACTGGATACAGTCTATTATCCACATTCAAATACTGCTTACCTTGAAAACAATTGAAATGTTTCATTTTAGATAACCTTTATGAAAGGAAGACAGATTGGACTAGAGGGTGATGACCAGCAAACAAGGCTCCCAAAAGAAGCATGGGCGAAACTTGGCAGAGAAGCATTACCATGCTTTAGACGAGTTCCTGCATTTCATTTTATGTGAGTTCTTTATTTGTGTCAGATACTTATCAGTATTGTCAAAATTTATTGAGCTCTTTCATCAATTTTGTACACTGATAAATGCATAGGTCAATAATGAAAAAAAAAATATTTTGTTTATTTCATTTTATTTTTTTTTTAATGTTGTCTGAAAACAAAATGTATTTCACTTAAAATGATTGACTATGATAAATTTTACAATCCCTATTCTATTCTATTCTATTC